TTGCCATTTTAACATAATTCAGAAAAAAAATGAAGTTTTTGTGATCTTTTTTACCCGACCTTTTGCCTTAAACAGACACATTTCCGGTCATAAAAGTGACATGGTGAATAAGTACTATCAAAAAAAATCCTACTTTAGTACCCTCTCATTACAATCAAGGTTAATTAGTTGTCAGACAGTTGAAATTTACCTGTTCAGGTAACAGGTAAACTAAAATGTACCGGACATTGATCGATCTATTTGAAGTTATTTTTATAAATTTGAGCGGTTTGCATCTAATTAGTTTAATCAAAAAGATTTAAATTATCAAAAATATGTATATAAATATGATTTGATGAAAATTTTTAAAAGGTAGTTATAAAGGTTTTAAGCGAAAAAATCGTCAGGACCACGTTGTTTGAACAAAGTACACTCGTACGCATGTGCGCAGTTGTGAGATTTAATTATGCATCCAAATTCTTCAAAAATACTAAAATTATCATTGATACCTTTATCTAACGTTCATTTCAAGTATTTTCATTGAAGAAATAACGTTGGATGGAGCTACTTAAACTCGATTGTGCTTTTTAAACGTACACAGATTTTTCGTATCCGGCTCTGGTCCATGTTTTACCATTGTAAAGTCAACATCCAGTATGAGAAAATGTACCTTCAAAAACGAAAGTAAAGATTTTGACACGGATGATTTTGACAGCGTTATATTCACAAATAAAGATTCTAAGGCATATATTAATACTCTAATGTTGCACACTTCGAATGATGCGCTGTCAATTTAACAGTTTACGTCAGTCCAGCGAATTTGTATCAAAAGTCAAGTTTAATATAGTTTTTATGTCAATCATTCATTGTTTATATGATGTCCAACTGATTAGCATGATTGCCTTTTGTTAAGTAGTCTTAAGGGATCAAAATCGGGATAAGACAAAAATGTCCGGCTGGCACAAATATTTTTTGGAAGCCCTGGTGTATTCGTCAGATAACAGATGGCTCATAATCACTTTTGGGTCTCTGTCCAGAGCAATTTTTTGAATTGGCATGATTGGCCTTACGTCAATTGGTTGGTGGCCAAATATGAAAATAGCTCTGGACACAGAATCCTAACCTTTTAAGTTTACTCAACATGCATGTGTGCTTCCCTTGAGTAGTAGATACACCTTATAAAAGTGATTATTGTATGACATCAATTGTTCAAGTTTCGCAGATTCTCAAATAGTGATAAGTTTTATATATAGCACGCCTTTTATGAATTAACGTATTTAATTCAAAAAAAGTGTAGCTTTGAGTGGATTAAATATGTTAATCAGTAAGGACAAGGCGTGGCTCTATATAATTTGTACCATTAATGGGCGATGATACATGTCAAAGGTTAAAGGTTTAACTTAACTGTACTTTTCATGAATTAAATATTTCAATCAAATAGTGGCGCTTTCTATGACAAAACGTCTCTTATTTTCAGAAAATGAACTGATGGCTCGGATTTTTAAGTAGGATTTGATTAATGATAGATGTACATGTAAATGAATTGTTGCCGTGAAACTTTATTCAAGGTTTTTAAAAGAATGAGAGCGATTTATTGAAGTAACCTCCCCCCCCCAAACCCCTTTCCGAGCGAAAATTCTTGAAGGGATAGATGCAAAATCTTGTTAGATGTATACCATACTGTCTGCTTTCAAAACCAATAGGATGTGTAGTTTTAAGAAGAGGTAAAAAAAGGAATGTTTTTAAAATAATTGTGAAGGTATTCTGCCTTTCCCAACACCATGAAAATGATCAATTAATAGACATGATAGATGGTCTGTAGATTGCATAAGGATCAGAGTTAAATAATTTAAGCATGCTCAATTCACAGAGATATACCTTTAAAAAGTGGAGGAAATTAAAAACGACTTAAATCTAGCTACAATTTTTTGGATATTTATTTTGACACGATAAACAAGTGTCAACCAATTTATCTATATCACCTCTTCGTTTATAGACTACGTTATTCCTTTTTGTACTTTGTAGCTCTCCTAGGGTATTAATTTTTTTCAAGTATACTATACGGAACCATTTTTAATTTAGGGTCAAGTTTACAAGTTTGGATAGCGTAAGGGTAAGTCCCCAAAACCACCTTTCTTGATTTTTTTTATATATTGTTGTGTATGCATTTTGTTTAAATTTTTAGGACATTTTATGGCCATTGATTTCATTGTTTACTAACATGACCATAATGACTAAGGCCAAGAAGTTGGAGCTAGATAGTGAAATAACAACTTCTGAGATGGAAGTTAGAGCACTGATCTAAGCTCCTCCCATTCAATTCTTTTTTCTATGACAAGCGACACACGGCGGGACTGGAGAGTGCAATAACTCAAAAAATCATTCAGTTAACGCACTCCTCTAAAAACAACCGAAGTTAACTCACTCGAAGATCAAAGGAAAAATGACCATTCATGTTACAAGGTTTATAAACTTGACTATCCCTAAATGGTCGATCTAGGTAAGAACATGTACTTCTTTAGCTCAGTCGGTTAGGTTTCATGTCGATCCAGCCCCACGTCAATTCGGCCCAAGTCGATCCGTCCCACGTCGATCCGGCCCAACGTCGATCCGGCCCAATAAAAAAATATATTTATGAGGAATAAAAATAAAGATATATATTAATTGTAATTCATAAATGTTTATGAATTTTATTATAATGTAAAAGGTGTACAGTAAACAAAAATTGGCCTTTGACAAATAGTTTCTTTAGATGAGTTTAAAACAACTATGTTGATTATGTTTTCATTACAAGTTTTCAAGATTATTGGGTATAATTATAATAAAAACGTATATAACAGAATTTAGTACAATCAACAGACATCAACATTAATCAGCAGTAATTAGCATTTTCTTTCAATTGACTGTGATCTTAACAAGTCTTTCATCCTGTGTAATAACAAATAGTTACATACACAACGGTACAAGCCGATCCCCAAGCTGATACATACAAACTCCACTTCTACAAGATGGTTCCAGCGCTCATCAAGGAAGCCAAAACTGTTTCCAGGCAAGTGCGTCTGGTAGATGAACAAGAGTCTTGCCCGTTGGCAATGCACCAAGTATCAACGGTCACAGGGACGCCTCTCTTCACTATGGGAGCAACTTCAAGACGGTACCATCACCACCTCATTCTTCCTTCGTGCCGTCGGACACAGGTACGACATTCCTGTGCCAGACCCAGAACCAGAAGAAGACACTGACAGCGAGTGATTTAATTGACATTGAGTGAACTGTATGACTTGTATAATGATTGTGCATATGTGGCTACAATCTATATGTTTATATAACATTTATTTATTAAATGCTTCATGAGTATTCTTTATGTTTAGAATAATATATATAGTGCGTTTGTTCTTGGTGAGCCAGCCAAATTGAACAATTATAGTGCTGTTAGTTCTATATATTATATATGTACTGCGTATGATAGTTACTGTATATGTTATTGTAGTGCTGCAAGTGTGACCCCTTTTATATTATGTAAGTGACAGTGTAACTGTTAGTGTAAATGATTTAAGTGTTATTTATGTGAGTGTCAGAGATAGTGTGTTTGTTAGTGTGTATGAATTTATTGTTATATTATAGTAGTGATGATATTATATTTTAGAGAGTGAAAATGTGCATTCAGTGTAATTATTTTGTTATTATCTTGCAATAAAGAATAATGGATACTCATATAACTTGTTTCTTTTTTATCTACACACAACTATTCAAAATATTGTCAACTTTAAAAAAATATATTGACTATATTCGATATTACAAAAAAAAGAATGTGTTATAGAAGCCTCTGATGTTACCTGAAAAAAAAATACAATTAATTATTATAACACATAACACCAAACAAAAGATCAAACTATAAAGACCTTGTTGATTACGTGACTTTAATCAATCAGGATTTGATTGAATTAAGTGATTATGAGTGGCATTACCTTAGTTCACAATCATCAGACAATTGTTGAATAAACAAACCAATTATAGACTAATGATTTGATTAAACAAGTCATTATGATGAGTTAAAATTTATAGGTTCCATTGGACAGTAAATATTTATTTAGCTATTCTGTGTGTGAATTAAATAAAATAAAAATTGCCATGACATTCAAAGTTATCATGGTAAATAACTTCATATTAATATGTTGAAGCTGCTATACAAACAGACACAATCACACTCATTTTCGTATCGATTTCAAATAATTCTTTGACCATGTTTGACTGGTACTCCAATACTTCACTTACCTGTTGTCATCCATCATCGATACTTTTTACAAATTCCATTTATACTGTTAAAATTTGTCACAAAATCCTCCAAAGTCAATATAGTTTATTCATATTTTATTATGGGGCCGGATCGACGTAGGGACAGATCGACGTGGGCCGGATCGACTTGGGACGGATAGACTTTGGGCCGGATCGACCTAGGGCCTGGTCGGTTTGGGGACAGAACGACCGGATAACATCGGTTAGAGAGCTGCCTTGTAACACAGAGGTCCCAGTGCCAGTGGAGACAATGTGATTTTGTAGAGATCTTTTGTGTTTCATAGGAATAAGGCTATCCTGTTACACATGAGATCTTTAGTGTTTCATAGGAATAGGGCTCTCCTATTACACATGAGAATAAGGCTTTCATGTTACACATGAGATCTTTTGCGTTTGAAAAGTTCAAGACTTGTCAAAACTTACAAAAGATTGAGGAATAAAAGTTGCATGTCATTGGAAGAAATGCAATTATTCTGATCACTATTGTTTCTTTTTTCGATAATGCGTGTTGCAATAGATATTCTCATTAGTGCCAAAGCAGTGAAATGTAAATGTGCCTTACTGTTCTTTCACGTTGTAACAAAAAAGAAGGTTGCTGCAGACGCCTTTTGTCGTTACTTCCGTCCTGCGCATACGCATAGAAAAGCTTACTTCCGTATTTCAAAGAAGTCTCTAGACTTCAGGATCATTTCATAAGGAAAGTCCCGAGAAAACAAAGGCCATTAAATATGGACGACATTGATCTCCCTTTCTGAACAGCATCGTGTTCAATGTTATGCAATTTTTCCTGCATTTCAGTTGTTTGATGCAAATTCGTGACTTCCATGACATCTGTTGAAATGTTATTTAATCTGATCAAAACTTGTATTCAGTAATCAGACATTCAGGAATAAGACTTTTCTACTGTTTTTGCATGGAAATGAATGCAATGTGACCTTCCATCAAAATATTTGTAGAATTTCTGTGAGCGTTTGCAATGTCCACAAAAAGTGATGTTCGAATTCTCCTACTTGGTGATCGTAAGTCCTATCTTTACATTATCTCCAAACAAATTGTTTAAACTCCAGTTGGACTGATCACTGTTGTATCCCAAGGCAAATGTTGATGGGGCTGGACATTTTTTTTTTTGCATACTCGAAACCTGGTGCCCTGTTTCGATTGACAAAAGTTGAGATTGAGCTTCTTTTCTATTGTTGCCATGTTGGAGGTCTAAGTTCTCGAATTTTTCAATTTGTATGTAGGAACAAATTTCTAGCCGGACAATGAAGATTTCATGGCAAAAAATTGGGTCTCAAAGTTCCGCCAAAATTCTCTCTCGAAGACGACGAAGTCCAGATGAAAAAAAATGGCTTCAGCGTTATGACGTTGTAGGAAATGTCACAGAAAAAAAATTTAATAGCCTTTCAAGACGTCATAATTATTTGGACTAGCCTTGCGTTATTCATCACAATGATTTAGAAAGGATCTCTTTTGTTTATCACAGATTGGTTAGTCACATAAGAAAATCGACTGTTTGTCCCTCCAAAATGTCAGACAAGGGAAATAACTCCAACTACGTCATTCAAAACCTATTTATACATGTACCTGAATACGACACAAAAATCTTATTTCTGATGTTGAAATGTACATGTACTTACACTTTGATTGAGTAAAAATGACATATATTTCTAAATTATTATCTTTACCTTCAATATTTCCAGTAAAAAACTGAAATAAATAGTGCTTTCTGAAAATATCAATGAGCAGACAGGTTTGTAACAGGTTCCCTTGTGCATTTGGATATTCAGTGTACCGGGTACCCTACTTGAATCTTCACTATCTTGTACTTTAACCATATTGTAACCATTTAACATGTTTAATCAGTGGTCTAAATACATTCAATTGTGTACAAAATGTACACAATACAGTTAAAGAATACCCTACAGGCCTAGGGCTCTATATAAATGTTTGTCCAATTGTCCAGGACAATTTTAAAAGGCATACACATTCAAGCATCTATAACCAACATTTTAGTTGTCGGATGAGACATTGAAAATCTTCATTTTAAGAGTGTTATAAAAATGTATGTATTAAGATAATTATCCATTTAGATACATTCATGACATTGGTTTGCATTCATTTATTAATTAATTGGCTTCCTTTGACATCTTTATTGCTGATAAACATGTACCTAAAGGTTAACAACTGTTGGTTTCTATTGGTTTTATCCCATTAGTGTAAACCTGTCTGTTAAATGCAAACACTTATACTGCAGAGTCCATGAGTCGACTTATTTTGATATCAGCATTTCTCTTGGCACTAAGAAATTAATTACCAAAGTCCAGTTGACTACAGTACATGTAATTCCACTACATGTATGCTGACAGTCTGTGCTATTTGGCTCTTTTTTCCTGAGTAAAAATTAGAATAATTATGATAGTAAATACTGTAAACATGGTAAATATATCTTGTTTTTATTTTTGCAGCTGGAGTTGGAAAGACATCCTTGATATTGACCCTTGTCAGTGAAGAGTTTCCTGATGAGGTAAAGAATGATTTTCTGATGTTTAAAGGCTAAATATGCATTTTTTTAAATTTGAATTGACCTCCACCCATTATCATAAATGATTTTATAGAAATTAGAAAACAGTGATGAAGAAAAATGTTTTTCCTGCTTCTTTCATGCAAATTGCTTAGATTGCGCAACTTATTTTTAGTTCCATGTGATTTTATGTTGTTGGGAAGTATATCACTAAAAATGCATTCAATTCCAGTGTTAGCTTACTATTTTACTAAAAGTGGTACACAGAAATCACACAAAGTGTTATAAATATTTCAGATTAATGTTAAATTTTTAGCAATGGGAGATAATCCAGTATTGTCCCAATTGTGTTCATTGATGATTATTGACTCTTTTTTAGGTTCCAGCCAAAGCTGAAGAAATCACAATTCCTGCTGATGTTACTCCAGAAAGAGTTCCTACACATATAGTAGATTATAGTTGTAAGTACAATGTAAAATAAATGTTTATACATACAGATTATCTATGGTGTTAAAAACGAGAGGGAGTTTCTTGGCTAAAATCTAATCGAAGGATGAGAAAAAAAAATCTGTCGAATCGATTGAGATGGAAAATTATCACAGAAAAAAATCAAAGCTAAATTTAAGAAAATAGGAATAAACCAAATATTTTACAGTGCAATTCATAGATGTAAGATAATGTCAATTCAGAAAAGTTTGCAATGTTTTTTTTTTCTATAAAGTATTTTTAGTTGTGAGGGTAAAAATTGAGACAAAACAAAATTTGACAGCAATACTTGTATGCAACATTTTCTAAAATTGCAATAATTAATCTTGCATTTTTGTCGTCTGGGCAACAATTGCCAAAAAAAAGTGTACACTTAACTTTCTGAATTGACAGTACTCAGTCATATTGTATAATAATTCTAATGAAAATTAAATTCTTTTTTTCAGCACAGGAACAAGATGAAGAAACTTTACAGGCAGAAATTGTAAAGGTAATAATATTGTATGTACCACATGGGTGTCAATCAATGGTCCGGAAATGGTCATATTTGCCAGACTTTACCTTAACTGAATAGCCAATGTCCATAATGGCAGATTGGGATTTAGGTTTAAAATCATTTTTTACAGAAATAATCTCGGAGTCGACGAAACTGTCAATACAATTTCATCTATGCCATGAATCTATGAATAATTTCAACAGTTTGAAAAAGGACGCAAACTTTAAAGTCATCTCAAAATGAACGAAATTGTATGAAAAAATGTCCGGAACCTTGGTGCCTATGGTTTTGAAATATAATTATTTAGACCACAGACTAACAGAATAAACCACACACAGTGGGCACCCTCTACTGTCTTCATGTACAAGTATGCAGTCGTAACCTGTTTAAAACTGTGATGCAAAATTCAATGTCAGATGTTGAGAGAGTGCTATTTGAAATGAATATATAAATAACCCTTGAAGAAATTTCTTAGTAATCTGTTACCTGTAGCAAAATTTTTGAAGTTTCAAGATTGCTCTGATCACCTTTTGAGAGATTTGCTCAGACCATCAGAACTTAGATATAAGAAGATGGGGTATGAGTGCCAATGAGACAACTCTCCATCCATGTCACAATTTGTAAAAGTAAACTATTATAGGTCAAAGTACGCCCTCAAAACGGAGCCTTGGCTCACACCGAACAGCAAGCTATAAAGGTCCCCAAAAAATGATTAGTGTAAAACCATTCAAACAGGAAAACCAAGTTATACTATTGAGCACATACTTTTATAGTAGTGATACCAATTCAAATTGACTGGCCTTATAGAAAAACTTTACAGAATTAATTAAGCTTTGTTCCAGTCCAGAGAATGTAGGAAATAATTGTTACTGGAATTAAACGAACACCTGTAAATTAGTATTATTTGCATATATATTTCTAAGTTCTAACAGAACAATTCCATGTTTAGAATGGTGCTATTTAAAAGTAAAAACTGCCAAAAAATGTATTATCTATAAAGCAAATATCATTGAATTTTGAACTCAATAAAATATTCATTTTGGCTGTTTTTCATAAGATTTTCATTCTTTCTTTACATAGTCCAATGTTATATGTTTGGTGTATTCGGTGGAAGATGAAGATACAATTGAAAGAGTAAGTACAGTCATTCAATTTCATTATAGACAACATAAAATTTAACAGTTGTTTCTGAAGAATTCATCTATAAATAGTTCTGAATGACACCAATTGAGGAAGAATTACTTCCCTTTTAAAGACATGTTGGAGATCTACATGCACATATTCTTTCATCAATAAGCCAAATTCAACTTGTTATACTGACCACTAGACTTTTTATAGAAAAAGTTGTTTTCTGAACAATTTTATTTTTGTTTAGCCTTGCTTAATTCATTACTATAGCTACTATCTAGTAAGGATCTCTAATCAGACTAGTTTGTACCACATGCTTTTATTTGGTTACTATATTTAAATAAGAAGATTAACCATTTACATTTTCAAAATGCTGCAAATTGAAATAACTCAAAATCCAAAAGGTTGCCACTGGGGACTTCCTGAAAGTTTTGCCCACATTGAGTTGACTTCCGGTGTGGACAGATTGATATGTCTAAATCCCTAGGCTGTAGTGTATCACTCGTAACAAGTTTGATTTCCTTTTTCAGATAACCACATTTTGGTTACCTTACATTCGACAATGTCGAGGAGAAGAACACAGTAATCCTATTATATTAGTGGGGAACAAGTCAGATTTACTGGATTTCAGTACAATGGAGGTAGGAACTATCTTAGTATTTAATTTTATTTCGAAATATGTCTTTATGAAAATAATTTTGAAGTTATTCAAAAATTTCTATATAGGAGCATTCCTGACATATTTGTGATATTGACTCAATAAAAATGAGGAGATATGGTATGATTGCCAATGAGATAACTATCCACCAGAGTCAAATGAAGCGGGAGTAAGCAATTATAGGCCACTGTACTGTCTCTAACAATGAGAAAACCCATACTGTATTGTCTATAAAAGGCCTAGACTTGAAAAATGTTAAATAATTCAAATGAGAAAACTCAAGGCCTAATTTATAGCAAAATAATTTACGAAAAACAAATATGACAGGCATATCAAATACATATGATTATTTTTCTGGTCAAAATTTAGTGCACATGAATACAAAATTTTGTGAAGATTAATCATTGCATTTTCAGGAAATACTGAATACAGATATCACAAATTAAAAATTAGAATGAGGTTTTTATCACAATTTTCATAGTTAGGGCTGTTCCAGAATTAAATGCATGGGGGGATGGGAGATACTTTTTAGCTCACCTGGCCCGAAGGGCCAAGTGAGCTTTTCTCATCACTTGGCGTCCGGCGTCGTCCGTCGTCGGCGTTAACTTTTTACATTTTGAACTTCTTCTAGAGAACCACTGAATGGAATGAAACCAAACATGGCATGAATGTTCCTTATGAGGTGCTGACCAAGTGTTGTTACTTTGTAGCCGATCCATCATCTAAGATGGCCGCCAGCGGGGGACTTAGTTTAACATAGGACCCTATGGGAAATGCATACAAATGACTTCTTTTAGAGAACCACTGAATGGAATAAAACCAAACATGGCATGAATGTTCCTTATGAGGTGCTCACCAAGTGTTGTTACTTTGTAGCCGATCCATCATCCAAGATGGCCGCCAGCGGGGGACTTAGTTTAACATAGGACCCTATGGGAAATGCATACAAATGACTTCTTTTAGAGAACCACTGAATGGAATAAAACCAAACATGGCATGAATGTTCCTTATGAGGTGTTGACCATGTGTTGTTACTTTGTAGCCGATCCATCATCCAAGATGGCCGCCATCGGGGAACTTAGTTTAACAAAGGACCCTATGGGAAATACATACAAATGTCGTCTTTTAGAGAACCACTGAATGGAATGAAACCAAACATGGCATGAGTGTTCCTTATGAGGTGCTGACCAAGTGTTGTTACTTTGTAGCCGATCCATCATCCAAGATGGCCGCCAGCGGGGGACTTAGTTTAACATAGGACCCTATGGGAAATACATAAAAATGTCTTCTTTTAGAGAACCACTGAATGGAATGGAACCAAACATGGCATGAATGTTCCGTATGAGATGCTGACCAAGTGTTGTTACTTTGCAGTCGGTCCATCATCCAAGATGGCCGCCAGCGGGGGACTTAGTTTAACATAGGACCCTATGGGAAATACATACAAATGTCTTCTTTTAGAGAACCACTGAATGGAATGAAACCAAACATGGCATGAATGTTCCTTATGAGGTTCTGACCAAGTGTTGTTACTTTGTAGCCGATCCATCATCCAAGATGGCCGCCAGCGGGGGACTTAGTTGAACATAGGACCCTATGGGAAATACATACAAATGTCTTCTTTTAGTGAACCACTGAATGGAATGAAACCAAACATGGCATGAATCTTCCTTATGAGATGCTGACCAAGTGTTGTTACTTTGTAGCCGATCCATCATCCAAGATGGCCCCCAGCGGGGGACTTAGTTTTACATAGGACCCTTTGGGAAATACATAAAAATGTCTTCTTTTAGAGAACCAATAAATGGAATGGAACCAAACATGGCATGAATGTTCCTTATGAGTTGCTGACCAAGTGTTGTTACTTTGCAGTTGATCCATCATCCAAGATGGCCGCTAGTGGGGGGGGGGGGGGGGGGGCTTAGTTCAACATAGGACCCTATGGGAAATACATACAAATGTCTTCTTTTAGAGTACCACTGAATGGAATGAAACCAAACATGGCATGAATGTTCCTTATGAAGTGCTGACCAAGTGTTGCTACTTTGTTGCCGATTTACTGTTCAAGATGGCCACCAGGATATTTTATTAAATAACGGGACCAATATTAATCAAAATTTGGCCTCAATCATTATTTGGGTATCTGTTATGATTTTTATCTATCTTTACATGATTTCTAAAACCAAAGTAGAGTCAGGTGAGCGACACAGGCTCTTGAGAGCCTCTAGTTTTTAAAACGCCGACCACCCATGAAATAAAAATTTTCATTTTATTTATTATTCCTACGAAATTCTATTGAATTTGCAACCACCCATTCGTATTATTTGTTTTCCAGACCATGATGCCTATCCTGAATGACTTTGCTGAAGTGGAAACATGTGTTGAGGTAAGAAATTAAAATGGCTATTTTACATCTGCTATATTTCTTCAAAACATGCTGATGTCTGGGTTATAAAGCTGATGCAGTTTGGTTCAATTTATTTCAAAAATGTCTTTGTCATACACAGATTTAAAAAAAAAAAATCTTTTTGTATGTATGATTGAAACTAGTTCTGTCAGTTGTTGATCAAGGGAAATTACTCTTTTATTACAGTATTGATCCTGTAGTTTCTTACGAGTTCAGACATCTATATGATGTTTTACGAAATGCATATTTAAATATTTTTTTATTTTTCTACTGTAACAGAATTACAAAGATATAAAAAACACTGTAATATCAAAATCAATAAACAATACAAAAAAGATATTAAAAAAACCAAAATCTTTCTATGGTACAACTGTTGCACAGCTAAAGAACTAAATTTTTACCTTTAAACTGATGGCGAAAAAGGAAAAATATATTTTGCCCACTGTAAAACATAATAAATCAGTAACCTCTGGGTTTCCTCGTGACAGCATTCTGGATTGAATTAATCTGTTTTGCTGATACTCATATATAAACCAGCTTAGAAAAACACAAAAACCACTTTTCTACTGGAAAAATACATATTGTACACTGAAAATACTTAAAAGGGTTTATTAAAATTTCCATATATTATTTTATTCCTCAAGTTTTCCATTGTACATTATGCAAAACCATTTAGGAAAACATGATTTTTATGGGTATTACATTTGTGAAAAAAAATTAGTAAATTTGCAAAAATTTATATCCCATGAAAAAAAGAGTACTTTCTCAATTTGTACATACAATATGTTTCTTAAATGTATTTTTTTTTAGTGTTCGGCAAGAACATTGAAGAATATAAGTGAGATGTTTTACTATGCCCAGAAAGCAGTACTGCATCCTACAGCGCCTGTATATAATCCTGAAGAAAAAGAGGTAGGTTCAACAATAATGCAGGAGCATGTTTTAAGTCTGATGGGGGATGGAACAAGATGTTAACAGTAATAAACAGTCAGGGATATAACTCTATAGGGTTATTACTGGAAATATCTTACATGTGTTATTACAGATACTTTCATGAGTTGTCTACTCTTTAATCCTTAAATTTTCTAAATCTGTAATAACATATGTTTGTTATTAGTAAAATAAATCATAAATATTTTAATTTTTAGTGGGCTCTAGGGACTCTAGAAACTTTGCGCAGAAACTAAATGCATAGTCTTGATAACTAATTTTTGAATTAAATTAATACATTTTTCATTAACCATGGTTAATCAATGAGACAAGGCTTTTAAAGGATAATCTTAGCTGTAATAACAAGGCTTAGTTATTAAAGGCATGTAACTTATTATATGAGACACTTGGGAATTACTGAGAAGCTTGCACAGAACCTCATTACATGCTCTGATCATTATTTCTTACAATAAATTAAAATACATTGTAATTAAGCATGATGCAAGTCCGAGCAAATGCTTTTGAGTGATTTAGAGAAGCTGTAATAACACCCTTTAGTTATTACAGGCATATTTTTTCTGTAATAACATAGGTGTACTATGCATGATTAGCAAACTATGAACTGTTATATCTTTCTATAGTTAAGTATACATAAAGACAATAGTAATATGAATAGAACTTGTATACATTTTAACTAAACTAATGATGTATATTGTCCCTTTGAAACATGTAACATACATATGTTATCACAGTTCTTTGATTTTTTAGTCCACAATAACAAATGTATGTTATTTTTCTCTAATAACCCTATAGAGTTATATCCTTGACTGATAAAGGTGGTTATTTTGATCATAATGATGGATTTGTAAACTTGCCCACACACAAATTGAAGGGCTTTATATATGTTAATTTTGTGAGTGAAATGATTACAAGATTTCAATAAAATGCAATAAAAATTATGTCCAGATAAAAAATACTAACAAAACTATTTCTCCTCTGCAAGGATTCATACTGGTAATGTCATGAAAACAGTTTGTACATGTATAAACTGTTAGGTTTTGTCGCTCACCAATGAAGTGAGATTTAACATAATATATTGGAATTATATCAGTACAGTATTTCTGTTGCTGTACTACTCAAGCTCAATGCACACATATATTGTTTGTTTCCAATTTTGTTTAAACCAAACTTTATGCATATATCATTGTATATGAACAAAATTAAATGGAGAGGGAAGGTACAAATCCTTGCTTCCTCCTGTCAGTTACAATTTTAGTTTTAGATGTTTGCGATTTCAAGAAATGACTACCATTCAGATCAACTGAACAAGATTAAATTAATTATTAATGTCACCTTATAAGTCTCTGTGGGAATTTGGAGAAAAGAATGGAGAAGTAATGAATAAAATTTAAATGACTGTTGTCCATTATGGTCAAGGTACAATAAATGGACTATGTGTCAGATTTATGTAAAATTTTGCATACAAATTAAGCTTGTTGAACAATAGCTTAATATTGGAAAAATAAAGCATTTATCTGTTTTATTTTCTCAAATGTTTTAGAATGAATTCTTTCGAAATATCAATTTTTGAAAAAATCTATGGATTTGTATTTGGAGATTTAATGATTTATAGACAATTTAAGAATGTTTTTCACCGACTTTATGTGCTTTCTACACACATATTTTGACATATTTCATTTTGTAATATTTGTGAAAACAAAATTACTGTATCTTGACCTTAAAAGTAATGCATATCATATGTCTTGAAAGTGATTAGATAGATAAATACCAGTTATAAAATTAAGATGAAGAAAACCAGAAGGTTGGTGAGTAAAACTTTCCGAGTTAGCTAGTGTATCTCCAAGCTATATGGAAAAGAGCACAAATATTCAAGAAAGAAAGAGACTTACAAATATTTTAATCTTTTTGATTAGATTAATATGTAAAGGCTATGCATAAAAACTTTAATAAAAATAACTTATAACTACATGCTGTTCCATGACAAAATGTTGAAGAGCTTCTCTTTGTCTTGCCTACCTTGTCACAGAAAGCGAGACATAGGTGTTGCTTTTCCTGCGGTGATGAAGGGGATGGCAGGGGATGTCATCATCAATTGATAAGTTTTCTGCTTAAAATTGGTTTCCGTTCTCTAACTTGAGTTTGCCTTAACCAAATGTTATGAAACTTAAACACAATGCTTATTACCACAAAACACAGATCAAGTTCAAATTTTGGTGGCGTCACTTTAACCATTCTAGAGTTATGCCCCTTTATAAATGGAAAAATTGCAAAATTTTTATTTTCTTCTAAATATCAAGTAATTTCTAAAATTGGAGTTATCTTCCTTTGTCCATGATTATAGTTGAAACAGCTACAATCAATGCTTTATACAATGCAATGTTTAATTTTGACTAACACTGATACAACACAGATCAAGTTGAATTTGGGTAGTGTCACTTTAACCATTATTGTGTTATGCTCTTTATAAATCGAAAGATTGCAAAATTTTTAGTTTCCATTCTGTAACTTAAGTTAGCCCCAACCAAACATTATGAAACCTATACACTATCCACATTTATTTTGTATTTTCTGCCGACAGGCGAGACATATCTCTGTGTTAACAATTTATTTAAATCAATATTCCCACGATAAATTTTTCTTTAGAAAATCTTGAGAATTTCTTTTTGGGGAAACCATCCTCCCATTATTTATTTTTTGAGGATGTTTGCTCCTCTTGTTTTTATACGACCGCAAAAATTTTTGCAGTCGTATATTGGTATGACGTTGGCGTCGTCGTCGTCGTCGTCTAACTCTAACTTTAGTTTAAGTGAATGGATCTCTATGAAATTTTACCAAAAGGTTCAATACCACAAAAGGAAGGTTGGGATTGATTTTGGGGGTTATGGTACCAACAGTTAAGGAATTAGGGGCCAAAAATAAGCATTTTTGTAACTTCCAGACATAACTTGTGTGTTAGTGTATGGATCTCTCTGACATTGTACCACAAGGTTTCATATCACACAGGGAATGCTGGGATTGATTTTGGGGGTAATTGCCTCAAAATATTAGGAATTAGGGGCCAAAAAAAGGGGCAAAAAACAAGCATTTTTTCTAGTTTCATGACAATAACTTGTGTGTAAGTGTATAGATCTTTCTGAAATTGTACTACAAGGTTCCATATCACAAAGGGAAAGCTGGAATTGAGTTTGATGGTAATTGTCCAAAACGTTTAGGAATAAGGGGCCAAAAAGGGGCCAAAAATAAGCATTTTTCTAGTTTCCAGACAATCACTTGTGTTCAAGTGTATGGATCTCTCTGAAATTGTACCACAAGGTTCCATATCACACAGGGAATGCTAGGATAGATTTTGGGGGTAATTGCCTCAAAATATTAGGAATTAGGGGCCAAAAAAGGGGCAAAAAACAAGCATTTTTCTAGTTTCATGATAATAACTTGTGTGTAAGTGTATGGATCTTTCTGAAATTGTACTACAAGGTTCCATATCACAAAGGGAAAGCTGGAATTGAGTTTGGGGGTAATTGCCCAAAACGTTTAGGAATAAGGGGCCAAAAAGGGGCCAAAAATAAGCATTTTTCTAGTTTCCAGACAATAACTTGTGTTCAAGTGTATGGATCTCTCTGAAATTATACTGCAAGGTACCATACCACAAAGGGAAGGCTGGGATTGAGTTTGGGGGTGATGAATCATAAGGGGGTTCAAAAAATTTGGGGGGGGGGGTTTCCTTTTTTCTTTTTTTCCTTTTTTTTTTCTTTTAAAATTTTCCATTTTAAGTTGGTTATTTCAGTTTTATATTTAAAAGCAAATAATAATGATATGGTAGGAGATACACACCAAACAGGATGTGTAAATTATTATATAATAAGTATTGTGCAATAGCAAGAAATTTTCAATTGCACAGTATTGCACAATAGCAAGAAATCTTCAATTGCACAGTATTGCGCAGTAGCAAGAAATCTTCAATTGCACAGTATTGTGCAATAGCAAGAAATATCCAATAGCACAATATTGCGCAATAGCAAGAAATTGTCAATTGTACAGTATTGCGCAATAGCAAGAAATATTCAATTGCACAGTATTGTGCAAAAGAAGATACTTCGTATAAATTGCTTATTTCTTGACCAATTTCAATGGGGTTTTATTCTTGAATTCTTGGGGTTCTTTAATATGCTGATTCTAACCGTGAATTAAGTTTTTGGATTTTGGACCCCATTTTTAAATTGGTCCACATTGAGGTCCAAAGGGTCCAAAATTAAACTTTGTTTGATTTCATCAAAAATTGAATTATTGGGGTTCTTTGATATGCCGAATCTAACCGTGTATTTAGATTCTTAATTTTTGGTTCTGTTTTCAAATTGGTCTACATTAAGGTCCAAAGGGTCCAAAATTAAACTTAGTTTGATTTTAACAAAAATTGAATTCTTAGGGTTCTTTGATATGCTGAATCTAAACATGTATTTAGATTTTTGATTATGGACCCAGTTTTCAAGTTGGTCCAAATCGGGGTCCAAAATTAAACTTTGTTTGATTTCAACAAAAATTGAATATATGGGGTTCTTTGATATGCTGAATCTAACCATGTATTTAGATTTTTGATTTTTGGGCCCCATTATCAACTTTGTCCACATTGAGGTCAAAAGGGTCCAAAATTAAACTTTGTTTGATTTCATCAAAAATTGAATTCTTGGGGTTCTTTGATATGCTGAATCTAACCATGTATTTAGATTTTGGATATTGGACCATAATAGGTGAATGTCCAATTTAAAATTTTTAAGTTCTTAGACCACATTCATTCTGTGTCAGAAACCTATGCTGTGTCAAATATTTAATCACAATCCAAATTCAGAGCTGTATCAAGCTTGAATGTTGTGTCCATACTTGCCCCAACTGTTCAGGGTTCGACCTCTGCGGTCGTATCAAGCTGCGCCCTGCGGAGCATTTTATTGAATTTTAGCCAAATATTGGGAATCCTCTGGTTTTATCCATGTAGTGCCATTCAAAATCTTGCCTGCTTACCCCTACTGTTCTTTCAATAAATTGATTACATACAGTTTAAAATGCCATCTTTGAAAATCTTATAAAGTCTTTGTTATTTTCTCATAGTTTTGAAAGAAAAAAAGTGCCAATGTTAAATTTTTGAAAAATCTTAGAGAGAATAATTTCCCGTCAAATTTTCAATGGCTTATATTATCTTGAAAACAAGCACACGGACCCTTCATTTTTTTCTGCTTTTTTAGTTCCTTTATTTTAATACTGTCAATTTATAGCAGTCTATTAAAAAGCTTGTTATTTTGAAAGAGTAGCAAACATCATTAAGTGTTTTCTGACTGAGCCCATTCAATATATACTTCTTAACAGACCTAGTCATGAATGAGGTTAATTAGCCTGATATTTGATGTAAATGGTAACTTTAAATTTTGCTCACCTCGAGCTCCTTATATTAAGAATGTCCCAAAATGACTGTTTATTTGTGGGGAAACAATGGGAATTTGAGTAATTTATGGCCTCATTTACTAACTCAAAATTGAAATCAGAAAATATTTATATGCATGTAGTCAGAAAAAGAGCATATTAAATACTAAATTATTTTGAATATGAATAAAAGGAGAAGTGGGGTATACATCAATGAATCAAAAATACAAAAAAAAAAACTGTTTTCCAGAGGTCAAGTCTTCAACAATTCAAAAAATGTCCTTTATAAATATTGTATGATAAAAAGGGATTTAATACAAATTAGCATACTGAAATACTATGTAAAATTATTCTCGAGGGAAGACTAAGGGCTGTTCCAAAATTGATTGTGGTTTAGGGGGATTGGAAGCACTCAAATTAATTGATTCTGGTTAATTGCAATTTCCTTTTAATTTTGTAAGAAAATTTATATAAGTAAAATGTAAATTTTATATAAGGTTGGTTGGTGTCCCTAAAAATTGCCTCCCATGGCGCCCCTCCTGCCCACTCCCTGGGTTTAATTCTAGAATTTATTTTAGTAACTTCTTTGTTTTTCTTTGAAGCTCTGCCTTTTCCTTTCTTTTTGACTGCTAGGCATTTTAAGCTTTTTTTCTTTTTTTAGCTGACATCGCTGTGTAAGAAAGCATTAACACGAATATTCAAGGTAATATATTAATACTGGTATTATAAGGGGTTTATAAACATGAAACATGAGTTTGAGTTTGTTCTGTTTGAGGGATTTTTGAAGAACTTGTGGTCCTGGAACATAGAAAATTGCTAAAAATATCAGTTTTGCACACAATTTAAAAGACAATATCTGTAATCATAGCTGTTGCGATGAAGCTGTGTTTGGAACTGACCAAGGTTAACAGATCATCATACTAAACTGATTAGATTGGATACTATATCTGCTGTGTAAAATTTCCCATATAGTCTAAAATATATTTTTTACTTTTAAAACAAAGCCCTGATTTTCCATGATGTTCATCCATGATCATAGGACCTAACTGGCAACATGCAAGAGGTTTTAATTTATAACAGCAAATTATATGTGTTTGAATGTCAAGTAAAATACCATCCAATTTTTTGTAAATATAGATTCAAAAATAGAAAATGAAAAGCAAGGAAAATGATACATCAGAATTGAGTTAAAATTGTTTCTCTTTTTCGATCACATAGAAAGATATTTAAGTAAAAAAAAGGCTACCATTTTATACTTGAACAGGAAAAATAACCATAAATAAACATTGCAATTAAAAAAATCTCACATTTTTATAAGCAAAATACACATAAAAACTATTGTATCAATCTTCCATTTTTGTAACTGTTAAAAAAGAATTACTAGATTGAAAAAATTATATTCTTTCATGTATACATACAATATTGTTATTTACTACTATTGTATAATAAATTACATTACAACACTTATCACTTTTATGCTGACTTGCAGCTATTGAAGTTATCTTAAACTTTTTTCAGATTTGTGACCTAGATAATGACCATTTACTGAACGATGATGAAGTCCATTTGTTTCAGGTAAATGAATAAACGAAAATCCGTAATTCTTGATACTCAAGGATTCCTGTTTTATGGACTTGAAGGCAACATCTCTGTATTTTTAAACTTTCCCATACCACAGTGGCAAACCCTGTGCTATTGAGAGCTTGCCCGTACGAGATAGATAACCTCTTTTTTATTGAGAAGATGCCTTAAGTAAACTTGGTGAATGAGCTTGCAATATGGTGTGAATGTTTTTCCATATTAAGATATGACTTTTAGAATCTATGTTGCCTTTATATGCTGTTTTGAGATCATGAAAATGTATGGCTGTTAAGAACTTTTAGGACTATATTTTAACATATTTTTGGTAGATTTTTTTTCACATAAACATGCCTATGCAGTGATATTATCTTTTCTGTAGTGACAAAAATGGTCCATTCATTGCTCTCTTTCACTCCTATGCTCTGTTATTTTCTTACACATTTGTTGGGTTATTGATGTCTAGCATAGATGGCTGTCTTGAACTCACAGTGAGGTATGAGACTTTGCTTAGTGTTGAAGGGTTCACTATGACTTTCAAATAGGCAGGTAAAAATGCTGACTCTTTACTTTAGGTTTGTAAGTGTGAGTAGGAATTCTGTGTCATTAGTTATAACCAAGTCCCTTTTCTATTTCATACTTAACACTAAAATTGTTTGAATGTTTCTTGTCTACTGTCCTGGATCATGTAGATTCTTGCTGATTTTGTGTTTGGCATATTGTAAAGACATGTATCTTAGATAATTGTCGAAGACTTTGTTGACCTAGATGTCTGCTTTATATGTTGTTTGGCTCCTGAATCATTGAAGTATAATCGAAATCTCCATTAATATACATATTTTACATTGTATGTAAAAATATTGGGTTTTTTATGCCCCCGCCGTAGCGGTGGGGGCATTAAGTTTTACCCTTGTCCGTCTGTACGTATGTATGTCCCAAAATTGGTTTCCGCTCTCTAACTTGAGTTTACCTCAACCAAATGTTATGAAACTTATACACAATGCTTATTACTACATAATACAGATTAAGTACGAAATTTAGTGGCGACACTTTACCATTCTTGAGTTATGTCTCTTTATAAACAAATAAATTGCTGAATTTTTCGTTTCCGTTCTCTAACTTTACTTTGTCTCAACCAAATGTTATAAAACTTATATACAACCGTTCTAGAGTTATGCATGTTTACAAATAGTGAATTTTTAGTTTCTGTTCTCTACTTAAGTTAGCCTCAACCAAATGTTATGAGACTTGCACACAATGCTTATTACCACAAAACTCAGATCAAGTTCAAATTTGGGTAGCGTCACTTTTACTGTTCTTCAGTTATGTCTCTTTATAACTATATGATATGCAAGCGGGGGCATCATCTGTGTCCATATGTGGACACTATCCACATTTATTTTAGGATGAAATATAAATTTTTAATTACTGTCAATATGATAATACAACTGGATATTAATTTTGAAAGATATTTTCAGCTTTTATCATAAATTTGAAACATTTAGATCTATTTTTCAGGAAAAAATATTAAAATATTTATTATTTATAAAAAAGTTTAACAAGGTCTAGAATAGGTTTATTAGGGAAGGAAATTTGCTGTTTTAGAATGTAAAGGATTATGGTAATTTCAGTGTGCCAACACCAATTGAAAATTTCAAAAATAATAAAGACATTGGTTGAATAACCATTGAATAGTTATCATGAAATCAAAAATTTTGGTGAAAATTGTGACAGGGTAGGTTTCTCAAAATTACAAACTTGCATCTCAATTTTGATAGCATCATTTGTATGCAACATTTCCTTAGATCATGATAATTTATCTTGTATTTTTTACCTGTTTTTCAACAATTGCAATTATAAATTCAAGCAACAAATTTTGAACTTACAAAATTAACCAACCACAGCAGTTTGACATGTTTGATGTAGTCTTTTAAAAATATTAACCAGAACTCATAAAATTTTGAAATTGTTAATTTCCAAAAGGTCACTTAAAAATGAACAATAAAAAAAAGATTTGATATTTGCAGTTGTTTTTGTCCGTAAGTAATGATTTGGTTATCTGATGTGGTTTTAGAATCCTGTAAATGTTTGAGTTTTTTTAATTATACCAAGTGCGGCAGTTATTCACGTTAATCTCCCTTATATTAAGCACAGTAATTAGAGCTTCATTTCTGAATTTAAAAAAATCTAAAAAAGAAATATTTTAACTTAAAATAAACACTTTATTTTATTGCTAACTTTAGAATTTATTTTTGTATCAGATGTTCAAAGTTAATGTATTTCTCTTTCAATTGCTAGTATCTAATTATGTCTGATTAGGTGTGACATCCATGGTCTGTCTCTTGGTAGCATACTCACTTCCAGTTGTTGAGGTCATGGCTTTGATTCCCATCTTGGTTTTTTGAAAATTATTATTTGCTGTTTCTCCATGTGCACAAAGTATGAAGCATTTAGGAATCTGATAAAAGTCTGATCAGCTGAGAGTTAGAATAATGTGTTCCAGTAAGGTGGGGTATCTTCCTGGGGACTGGTACTTATTGGGGTAGCATGTTAAAAATTTGACTTAGGTGATTGGTCGATTCAAAAGCAGGGTATAATCAAATTTCTGTAACATTTTACTGTCCTGAATATGCATAAAATAGCAACTGAACTTAAAGTAGCCACCAGTCAGGCAAGAAATACTCTACCCTCCATAGAATTATTATTTAAGCCTCCCCTGAATTTCTTGAATAACCCTAAACAAATCAAGTGTAACATGATGATAACAGATGGTAAAAAGCAGCTAAAACGTATTTGTACATATGATTTCATTAAACTTTGTATGAATTTAATTGTTCCTACTTTTAGATATATACAGAGTTAAAGGTGACTTTATAAGCCTTTAATGGCTAACTTGCTAGCAATTTCTGCTGTCCTGTAGTCTTAACTTGCCAAAATGTCATAGATTAAAGGTGTTATGTTGGGCTTATGGCTGCAGCAGATTGGCAAATTAGGGGTTTAAGGATAGAATCAATCAAGTAATTTAGGGACAAAGTCTTCAAGAAATAGGTTTTAGTGGCTTGGCGAATCTAGGGATAGCTGAGTTGTCAGAAGTAGATTCAGAGAAAACAAGAAATTTTTTTTTTAAAGGTAAAAAGGCTGGGTCAAATCTCATTAGAACTTTTTGCTTTTACAATGGCTGCTTCTCAGCTGCATATATATAGTTGATTGCTACAAGTTATGTTGCAGCTTTATGAGATAAGTGTACCACTTCTGCTTACAACCTACTTTTATTAAGTCTGCCCACTAATGGGAAAACAGCTATACTGGCAGATGTAATGGTCAGACAACGTAAATTGTTTTTTCTGAATATATAGTAAAATATGTCTGTGTATTTCCAAATAACGTTAGTGGTGTATTGATTAATTAATATCCAGTTTTAAAGAATGCAAAATATTGCCACTTGCAGCTTAATTTCTGCATATATTTTGCAAAAAAAGAGCTGTTTTTGACTTAAACTTACTGTAGAGTGGTCAATGTTTTGCTGATTTCAAGGGCCTAACCTGTGCACAAGGTTTTATTAATGAGTTAACTTTAATCCTGATCTCTCTTAATGATCAACTTCATGATTTGGGATATCATGGATATGTTAAGAAATAAATAAAAATTTAAAGTCTCATGTAAAATTCCAACTTAACATTATAAATTGTATCTAATTAATGAAAAGTTATTTTATAAAGTCAGAGGAAGGATAAACAAATTCAGCATTTTTTTTAACTTTCTTCCATCAAGCTTCTTTTACCTTATTTTAGACATGCTTTGGAGGTTGATTACAACTTTTGCCGTTTTTGTTACAGCAAGCTTTGATTAGCCTTAGTTACTTCACTTGAGGCATCATTACATTGTCACCATTTTGCAGGCAAGCTTTGAACTTTTCTTTAGGCAGCTACACCTCAGTTTTTCAGGTTTCAAGGAACTCACTTTTTGGTTTGGTAGAAAATCTCAGGTATTTGAATGTTCCGACCTTCTGCAGCACAGCTTTTATATTCCAGAATTTTTTGTAGAAGTTGTTTGTCACATATAATACAACTGCTTATTGAGAGGTAGTAAAATAGACAATGCTTCAATAATGAGCATGAATTACTGCATATTTTTTGATAATTTTTCAGTTGATTATTACTGCAATATTTTATAATTGAAAGTTTACATTTCTCTACTGTCTTGCTCAAAGAGATTACATCTCCCCCTACCTCAGAGTCTACATCTTGCCTCACCCCCTACCCTAGAGAGTCCACATTGACTAGTCCTTATGAAGTCACATTGATAATATTGCTACTTGTATGTTTATTCATCTATACCTTTCCTAGCTTATTTCTCTGAATGGTCTAGATGATTGTTTTGATTGTTGCTTACTTAATGTACAGTGGCAAATATTTCATGCATATTCAAAACTAAGTTTTTGATGAAGGTATTTTAATCCAAAATAATCCACATTTATTGTAAATAATTCATGGATTTGTTATTAAAACTCGAGATCCAAAAATTAAGATATCATATTCTGAGATAATCCACAATGATAAATAACAAATTACAATGAGTTAAGGATATTACCAAGGTCTAAAACATGGCTGGAAAAGTGCAGAAATATTGATATGTTTGACTTTGATTTTAAACATATAAAAAGAATATGTCCAGCCTCCAAATCTTTAAATGTAGGGTTTATATTATTTGAATTACCGATTGGACAGTTGAGATGCCCTGTCATTGACTTGTCCTTTAATTCATATTTGTTATGATTAATTGATTGTTTGCTAAATGCCCAGTGTCAAGTATTTCATGCATATTCAGGACAAGAACAAAATTGTAATAATTCCAAATGGTATGTTTGCAAAAGTGGGTCGCACATGAAAAATGGGAAAAGGGATTGTAAATTTTTACCCTGAACTCCAACTGTTAAAAAACGGTATATAAAACGAGAAGATGTGGTATGATTGCCAATGAAACAAATTTCCACCAAAGACCAAATGACTTAGAAGGTTAGCAACTATAGGTTTCCGTACTGACTTCAACAATGAGCAAAATTCATACCACATAGCAAGTTATGAAAGGCCCTGGAATGACAAAGGTAAAACTATTCAAATGAAAAAATTAACAGATTGATGTAAAAAATAATAAACAAAAAACAGTTATGGTAAACAGCAACAAGCGACAACCACTGAAACACAGGCTCCTGACTTGGGACAGGTTCATACAGAATGTTGTAGGGTTAATGTAGGTTTCATTCAGAATTTTTATCTTCCAACAAGCCAGCTACGGGGTCTAAACAAATTGTTGTGAGGATTTTTTAATGTCCAGAGACATGAGAGAGTGTCACTCAACCTAGGCCTACATCAGATATCGTAGTGTATTTATATTTGTATATATTCATCCTACACAAACAAAGGCCATAATGTACATGATGTATAAACTGATTTATTATCAAACAGTGACAATTATATGTATCCTGTTCAATTATTTGTAAAGCTAAGTTTTTTTTTGTTTCCCTGATTAACCATGATTTTTTTAATTTTTGCTTCAGCTGTTTATTTTCACAATAATCTTTAAAACTGGAGATATTTTAATACTCGAAGCATGTTTGAAATTCAGACGGTTTGAGGACAGACATTGTTTGCATGTTGGTCATGGTATAATGAATTGGTGTTTTTGGTTGTTGACTAAAAGTTAATAAATAAAACTGATTAAAGTTTCTGTTTTTTTTCTAATATGTAATAGTATGTGTCTGAAAGCTGATAATTAAAACTAGGAAAAGTTTACGGTTTTGTAATATGTAATAGTATGTGTCTGAAATCCTATCTGTTACCAGAATTTGTTTCAGTTCTAGAATATTTTTTATAATCTTAGAATAGGTCTTTACACTAGAGACAATTAATTCATTTGGTTTTTGTGTTGTTTGGTTGTTGTCTCTTTGACATATACCCTAGATCAATGGTCTAAATAAATTTCTCATAAAAAAAGGTTTCCTGATTCCGTTTCCCATCTTTTTGATACCCATTGAGCCCCATTCCCAGAGTGGCATTTATACTGCATTTATCTTGTCTATCTGTTAGTTTGTCTGTTACTTTTGCTACATATTCTCCAACTTCTGTATGAAGAAATAATTTGATATTTGGTCTCAAAATTCCTTGCAATGAGTTATATTTTATCTGCAGTACAGTCACTTCCTGTTAAACCATATTTTTAATAATGAATGAGCATGGACATTTTTCATCACTTATTTCTTAATTTCTGTACTTAGAAATGATTTGATATTTGGTCATTATGTGGAACTTTAATATGATGAGTTGTACTTTGTAAGCAAATTTCATATTTGCCATTTAATAATCTATATAAAACTGGAGTGAAATATCACGGCTAATCCTGCATTTTGATTGGTTACCTAAACCGTATATATGAGCCCATTAACCATGTGAACAAAAAGATCAGAATGATATTTAATGTTGATATCAGGACACTCTTGTATAATATAACTGTTCTTCTGCAATTGTGTTTAATCTGCACCCCTTTTCATCCCCCAAATCCAATGAAAAAAGAATAGGTATACTTACAAATGTGCAACTCCTTCTTTTCTAATATGGTTAATGGTTTTAAAACATTCTATTTACATTCTAATAATGATTACACCCACTACAGCAATGTATCTTCAGGCCATCTTATATCATCACTGTGTTATATGTTGGAAAGCACTGTCCTTTCTTTACTGATATATATATATACCCTTCAAATTTTAAAGGGTTCAAATCTCAAAACTAATCTTGTTAACAGACCTAGCGTATCTATTCTTTCTTAAAATAACAACTTTTGAAACTTGTTCAAATGTTGCTCGAAACAATACATTGTCATGCAAATAGGAGGTTTGTTGGTATTCAACTTGATACCATCTACCTTTTTATTGTTGGAAATCTTCTGTATTAAGACAGAAAAATGAAAGTCATTATTTGTTTGCTCCATTTATCGGTCAATGACTTAAAAAGAAGTGATTAAGGGAGTCGGAAAAAAAACCTTAAAATGTATCATTTGTCATATTTGTTTTTGTAGTTTTTTCTAACAATCATATTTTTTTTATTGAATATCTTCCATGTTTTTTTTATTGCAGAGGAAATGTTTTAATGCACCACTACATCAGCAAGCCTTAGACGATGTGAAGTCCATTGTCAAAAGAAATATAACCGATGGGGTCAAAGAAAATGCATTAACACTTAAAGGTTTGTTATTATATTTAGGTATCACACTAACAATTCAAGCAATCATTGTTTAGAAAGTATTTCAAAATGGTCATTCTCTAGTGAAACATAGTGCTTTTCAGGATGTTTTTGTATCAAAACTTGCAAATGGATTTGAATAAATTTGTTGAATAAGACAGTGTTCCAGCTAGGCCGTTTTCACAGGGCGGTCCGCCCGCCCTTTCCCGAGTGCCGCCCTGTGCCCTTTTTACAGTTTCCAGGGCGCCCTTCCTTTTTGAAGATCGATTTCATATTATTTTGTTCGTTTTGATATGATCCACGAATTTTACCTGGCGACAAGTTTATGACTTTCTTTACGACCCCAAACTAATCAACGTTTACAACAGGTGTCATAATCTGTTGTTACAGCTAATCTGTTTATCGGATGGGTCATTAATGATCATCAGCATTAATTCATTCAAATAGAATCGGTCAGTCGGCATTTGTCTTTGAAGAAATGTCAATTTGCAATGTTTTTATACAGGCACATATGGATAGTCGACCTTCCTATGGATAGAAACAAGTGCCTGTGTGTTTTTATCATAGTTTTATGGAGAAAACTTAATTGACAGGAAAGTCGAAAACCATAACCAACTTGTTAAAAACATCGTTTTACTTGTTTTCTGTAACATAAATAGCAAATTCAGACATAATTTGTCTTTAACTGCCCTCATTTTTGTTACGAAAATAACAAAATCGACCGCCATTGTTGATCGTATTTACCATCTACTACGTACTGTTTATAATCCTCCAAAGAGGGAGCACAACCGAATAATGAAAGATGACTCAATCTTATTTTTTCCTAGCATTGAGTTACCAACTAAAGATATTCTAAAATATGTCTTCATACTTCTTGCTTAAGAATTTATATGTTTTGGTCTTTTGAGTTATGGGAAAAGTTAAAGAAGGTATTAGTAGCAGGGTTGGTAGGGTGCCTTGGTCATCTTTTCTGTATTCTTTATTTTTAATACAAATTTTCACTGTTCACTAATTCCTAACATTGTGCACTTACTGAGCACAGCAGTTGTGTGCTGTATTGCCTTTAAGCACAGCAGAGGTAGAAAGCGTATTTCCTAGGTAAAACTTGTAAAGTGTGACCATAGAAACAGAATGAACCAGGACACCTTTTCAAAAAATACTGCATATAAAGCTTAACTGTGCCAAGCAATGCATGCTTTGAAAACTTGTGTGACAAGGTGTTTGACAAGTTTTTTAGCCTAAAAAGTAGAGAGAAAGAGTTTTATATGGGCTTATGATGTTGCTCTTGTATATATATAACCAGTGATTCAATGAATAAACACAATGTTTGATAAATATCTTTTTTTAAACATGCCCTTTAATTTTCATATAACCATATCATGCGCTAAATGCCCTTTTTCAGGATTGGCACCCTGCCCTTTTGAAATCCTAGCTGGAACACTGTAAGAAATATATTTGAATCATTTTTTAGCCCACATTTACTTGTCTATGAATTTCCATTACAATTTTAGAGTGGATGTGTTATAAAGAATGCTTATTGTTTTCAGAAACCAGAGTGCTAATTTTTAAAAATGTTGTGTGTCACTTCAAAAATTTAAACATAGGTTGAAAATTTGCATATGGAAATGTGAGCATGTACAATTCAGGATACATCTGGTTCTCGTAAAGTTAAACTTAAGGAGTTAAGAAGATGTGGTATGATTGCCAAAGACAATTCTCCACAAAATGACATAGATGTAGGCAACTCTAGGTCACTGCACAGCCTTCAACAATGAGCTCATTCCTTCATTTGTAGGTAAAATATTCAGACAACTGTTAGAATTGATAAATTTGGTTGAATATATCGGGGTTTTAAATTGGTGGCATGACATTTAGTCCTTCAGGAAAAGAACAAAATTTGAATGAATCCAAAGGGTTGGGTTACAAAGTGGTTGGCTCAGAAGAAAGGGTGGGAAATTAAGATCAGGGATTTATGTATTGTTAGCAAGAAATTTGAATGAAAAAGTGTTGTTCAGATTTAAAAGTATAGGCAATTAAGAAGCACCAAAATAATGTATCAAAATGGCGAAAAAGCAAAGATTGAGAGAATACAAGAAGAAAAAAAATTCAAGTAAGCAAGTGGTTGTTCTCTTTTCTTTTAAAGTAATGTCATGAATGTGAAATTAAACAAGATTGATTTTTGACACCCTAAGACCAAAGAAAATACAAAAAAAATATGTTTGTTAAAGTACAAAAATTCAATGAACCTTTTAGTATTATAATAAAACATTTGAGATATTAAAGATTTGCAGTGAATCAAAATTTGGCCTAAATTCTTAGTCTGAATTGGCAGCAACCCAAAAGCAAGAAAAAACGAGATCTTGAGGTCTTTTTATGGTCATCAACATAAGACTTGTTTCTATGCATTATGTCAAGATTGTATTGTTTTAAAGATATAATATTTGATAACAATTTTGATTTTTGTTTCAGGGTTTTTATTTCTGCACACATTATTTATACAACGAGGTCGACATGAGACAACATGGACAGTAATGAGAGCTTTTGGTTACGACGATCGATTACAGCTCACCAGAGATTTTTTATATCCAAAGTAAAATTTAATTTTATATGGTGGTTACCTTTGCAGGAAAGTCTAAAATATCAATAATATGGATTTTGATTTACAATATAAGTACAATTGATACAAAGATATTTGAAAAGAAAATACAGATTGAAATTTTTCATTTGATTGTAATCTTGAATGCGACCACAGGCTTCAATAAAAAAATTCCCAATGTCTGAAAATGTGTATTCAGATTTCTTATTACTAACATTAATTTTGCCAAACTTAAAGTTTTAATACATTAAGATTTCTTCAAAAACTTTTCACCAACTGATTAATTATAAGCTTCCTTATTTGACAGAAATATGTGGAAAAATAATTGTGATCTGGGTTAATCAGGGTCAATTCGTTATCCTTGTTTGTTATTGACATAAATCCAGTGTAACTTTGATTCCATGAAATTAAAAAAATATAATGACCAGTTTACATTGGATGATTATGTTTTTCACAGTTTTAGAGCTATTTTCCTAATGCATGTAGTTTTAAGGTTTGGTTGGCTTGCTTGCTTTGTTTGTATGAATGTTTGCTCAAGCATTGTAATTAAGATTGACATCTGCAATAAGTAGATAGGCGGGGCTTCAGCTTGTATACATTATACTTTGCATTATACTTAACATCCAATAATATTTAAGTATAATGTACACAAGCTGAAGATGTCAATCTTAATTATAATGCTTCAGCAAGCATTTATACAAACAAAGCAAGCAAGCCAACCAAACCTTTAAACTACAAGCATTTATTTAGGAAAATAGCTCTAAAGTAACCAATAAATTCAAACAATTCAACTTTTGAATTTTTTTTTTTTTTTACAGAATAATGGTGGGATCTGGTTCCACAACAGAGTTATCTTTACAAGGGATACAGTTTCTTAAAATGGTCTTCAACAAATATGATGAAGTAAGTATTGAGTAATATTACTTATAAGAAAATAACCAGTACATTTTCATACCATTATTGACACACACAAAAAAAAAACGATGTAAGAAAAATTATTACACAATTCCCTTGATCTTCAGAACAGCTTAATTCCCTTGATCTTCAGAACAGCTTAAGGCTGATCCATTAAAACATACATGGTACCCAGGGAAGGCACTTTAAAAATGGGGTAAACATCTATAAAGGCAATTTAGAATTTCTCTTTAAATTTAAATGGATGACATTGAATTCAATTGGCCAAAAAAAGCACCTTATCATAAAATTGAGAATGGAAATGGGGAATGTGTCAAAGAGACAACAACCTGACCAAAGAGCAGAATACAGCCGAAGGCCACCAATGGGTCTTCAACACAGCGAGAAAATCCTGCAACCGGAGGCGTGCTTCAGCTGGCCCCTAAACAAAAATGTGTACTAGTTCAGTGATAATGGGCGTCATACTAAACTCCAAAACATATAAATGAACTAAAATTAAAAATCATACAAGACTAACATACCTTCTTCAGTTTTAGATTTATATCATCTTTTATTCATATTCTTGTGATTTCCAGGATAGTGATGGCTGCTTGTCACCACCAGAGTTACAGAACTTATTTAGTACTTGCCCTGTCATGCCTTGGGGACAAGATGTTAATAATACAGTCTGTACAAATCCAAATGGCTGGATAACATCGCAAGGTTATCTGGCTCAGTGGGCGTAAGTTAAAAAATAATTTTCATGAAGGATTATTTTCAGTTGAAACCCAATGTATAATCTATGTACATACTCTCTCTTGGTGATATAACATCAAAGGGTTATCATACTCAATAGGGGTAATTGGTAGAAAAAAATGCAAGCATGTATGTTGAAGGGAAAAGTTTGTTATCTACAGATACAAATATGAATTGCTAGAAAAAAGCACCCTTGTTTTTCTTTTTGGAGAATATAAGTTTGGACAAATTGTTCTTATAATGTCTTTTAAGAGACTTTCTATATTAAAAACATGAAAAATTGTTCAAAAGCAAGATCTAAATATACTTTGATTAAAAATTGCAACTTTAGTACCATTAAGTTAAATGACAAAAAAATGTCTTCAAGAAATTAAAGATGGCTGCCATTTAAAAAGTACAGACGAGGAATAAAGACAAATTGTCTTAACATAAGGGGACACTGCAAGACAAAAACACCCAAATCATATGCATGTATAAGCAACAGACGACACTGAATTTCTCGAGATAAATATTCATCAGTGTAATATCATTTTCAGGCTAACAAAACTTCTTTCATTTTTGCTTATGTGCTTTGTTTATATGCCATTTTGTTTTTCTTTGTTGACATATTTGTTTGTTTTTATAGTGATTAAGATTATAACACAATGTTGACTGCCGACCCCTATTTTCGACATTTTACCTATTATGTCTGTTTGTTTTGTTCCCACATTGTTGCATTTGTCAATATAATGGAATTTTATGTGACTGTAATACAAGTGAGAGGTTTACCTAGCTATAAAATCAGGTTTAATCCATCATTTTCTACACAAGGAAATGCCTGTACCAAGTCAGGAATATGACAGTTGTTTTCCATTCATTTGATGTGTTTGAGCTTTTGATTTGCCATTTGATAAGGGACTTTCTGTTTTGAATTTTCCTTGGAGTTTTGTATTTTTGTTATTTTACTTTTTTCTGATGTACCTAAATAATAGAATTTGTATTTTTTTCAGGTTAACCACACTTCTAGATGTACCTAGAACTATAGAGTTTTTAGCCTATTTAGGTTATCAGTATTTACATGACAGTCAGGTTTCGGCTATTCAAGGTTAGTAACACACCATGATAGAATTGATGCCCTGAAATTTGTGATATTATCCAATTAGAATGAAAGTTACAAACAATGTTAGATTAGAATATATATTTTACTGTTCAAAAAATATACTTTATGATCACAGCAGCCTTTGAATTGTCACTGACAGCACACCATCCATTGAAAGAGATATTACAGATGTTTGACCAGGATAATCTCCTTTGACATTTAAGATATGTAGTACAACAATATGAATAAAGTGCCTGACCAGTTGCTCTCACAGTTAATTTATTCATTTCCATAACTTTTATTTTCCTTGTCAATAAGTTTATAACATTAGAACTTATGGACAACTTTTTATTTACTAGAGTAAAGATTCGGAAATTAATTGTTAGAGTTTGTATGCTACAAAGATAATTTTAAATCTTATTTTTATGCCCCACCTACGATAGAAGAGGGGTATTATGTTTTTCGGTCTGTGCGTCCGTTCTTCTGTCCGTCCGTCCGTTCGTCCGTCAGTCCCGCTTCAGGTTAAAGTTTTTGGGCAAGGTAGTTTTTGATGAAGTTGAAGTCCAATCAACTTGAAACTTAGTACACATGTTCCCTATGAAATGATCTTTCTAATTTTAATTCCAAATTAGAGTTTTGGCCCCAATTTCACGGTCCACTGAACATAGAAAATGATAGCGCGAGTGGGTCATCCGTGTACTATGGAGACATTCTTGTTATTTACTAGAGTAAAGATTCAGAAATTAATTGTTAGAGTTTGTAGGCTTCAAAGATATTGTTAAATCTTATTTTTAGTAATTGATTTTACCTTCCAACTGTTTTGAGTAGATGAATCTCATGTAGACATAACAAATTATAAGCTTGGTATCTTTGAAGAATGAGGGGCCTTGGTGGCCGAGTGGTCTAACTAGTCCAACTACTGTACCACTAGCCTGTCAACACTGAGGTTGTGAGTTCGAATCCCACATGCTGCAGGTGCGCTCGACTCCAATCTCAATTGACTAGGATTGTCAGCTTTCCTGCCAAAGGTCGTGGTTCTCTCCAGGCACTTTGGCTTGCTCCACCAATAAAAACTGACTGCCACGAAATAGCACAACAGTGTTGAAAGTGGCTTTAAAAACCAATCAATCAATCAATCTTTGAAGAATCTGATTAGTTTGAAAATGTTTTATTGTTCAAACAGACAAATGGATCATACACAAGTTTTGCAACTTAGTAATGTTTTCTACAATACATACACATAAATGATCATTACATAATCTGACATTAACAAATTATTATTGTTTTTTAGCATTAAGACATGAAATATATTAAAGAAATTTGATGAAACAAATCATTTGATTTTTATCCAGTAATTACATATATCAAATTGAGTATGTATTATTATAGAAAAAATTAAAACAAACACAAGTGTAATATAATAATTCTTATTTTAGTCTGATTGAAAGATAACGTAATGAAATTTGAAAACTGCCAGTAATATTCTCATCACAGAAATGTTTGTTTTGTTTTACAGTTACTAGGGATAAGAAAATAGATTTAGACAAGAAACATACCTCCAGAAATGTGTTCAGATGTCATGTGCTTGGTGCTAAGTCTGTTGGCAAGGTGAGTAATTTACTGTAACATTGTATGATTAAGTAATGTGTTTCTCGTTCCATTTTTAGTTTTACAACTGGAATTGAAGCAAGTAACAGTTAATGAATCTATCTGTAGCAGTGTAGGGACCATTACAAAGCTTGCTTTTGAATGTCTATGATTAAAAACCAGTTAGAAAATAAGATCGCGAAAATATGTGAATGGCTCGAGGCTTTTTCTGTTTATATGGTGGAACTGAAATAGACAAGCTGTAAATTAATTACGATCTTTTTTTGTTTATGAGCTGCCTTGCAATTTTTAGAGTACTGTGGATTTATTATTATTCATGGGGTACCAGTTTTTGTGAATTTTGTAAACCAAGAATTAAAAGGTTTAACAAGCTGTCAATTTTCTATATGCTTGTATGGAGACTTATACAAAATCACAAAATACACAATTTATCTTCAATACATGAAAACTGGTACCCCTAGAAAACAGATGAATCCACTTACAGTACAATTGTTTTCTTCATAATAGCAGGTAATTCTTGGAGTAGTACTTGTTTTCAAAACCTTTAGCGTGCAGGTTAATAAGAACTTTAACATTGTTTACAAAGTTTGGTGATATCATAAATTCATAGTATAATAGATTTGAGGATGGAAACAGGGAATGGGTCAAAGAGACAAAAACCCAACCAAAGAGCTGAAAACAGCCTAAGGCCACCAATGGGTCTTCAACGCAGCGAGAAAACCCCACCTGGAGATGGGCTTCAGCTAGCCAGGGATAAACATGTTTTGTGAGATCTCAACCTCCCCCTATAATGCTATATTTAATATTTTTTGGTTTCATCAATATGAATAAGAATGAATTACTATTGTTGAACATTTGTTTCAGACCTCTTTATTACAAGGCCATTTAGGAAGGAATCTCAGATATTTGGCCACATTAGAGAGGGAACATTTATCTACTTTTACAATCAATCTTGTACAAGTCTATGGTCAAGAAAAATATTTAATGGTAAGTAAAAAGTTTCGATTGATTAAGGTATCCATTTAAGTACAATGTATTTATAGAGTTTATGTAAAATGCTGAAACCTGATATGATATCAAATAATGAACATAAGTAGAAAAACAAAGGATGTGGGGTGTTCATCCATGACAAAAAATAATCAATACATGCACAGCAAAAAACACACAAAAAGCAAAGGAACAGTGCTTTCATTACTGTTCTTCATCTCAAAGTCAGTGAGGCCATCTACACTGAGCAAAAAAACTCTCACCTCACTGCAAGTTTGAGACAGCCCCTAGCACTGGCTTGAGTTGAATTTGCAAACATAATTTGGATAGACTTTGTAAGTAGTACATATTTAAAACAAAATAGTTTAAGACTTATTCAGAACTCTACTTCTGTCCTCAATATATACATTGTTCTATCTCAATATCCTCATAAATGATGTTTGGACCAATCAGAACCCCAGAACATTAATATTCCAAGAATGCAACACCATTTCTAAGCCCTTCCAGTATATCATTACTTGTCACAAAGCATATTTAGCTGCAAATTTTCAAAAATAATTGAAAAAAAAAAAACCAATTTTTTGCCTTTCTTGTTCAGAGTTGTGCTTGTATTGAAATAATTTTTTATAATTTCCAACCTTGTTAATGAGTTATATCTCCATACAGTTTTGTTTATTTATCCACAAATGCATTATCATATCAATTGCAAGTGCAGAGTAAAAACGAATGTTTTTTTTTATCTGTTATGCTCAAAATTTGCCACAATTAGTCTCTTGAATGATATTCAAACTGTTTATTGTAAACTTTTATTTTTCATCAAAGGTTTCCAGAAAGACTATAATTACTGAGAATTTCAATATAATAATTGTGTCTAATTGCAGTTACATGAAGTTGATGTTGTCGTTAGTGAAATGTTAAACCCGACAGAGATGAACTGTGATGTAGCCTGTTTATTATATGATGTGACCAATCCTAGGTCCTTTGAATTCTGTGCTAAAATGTACCTGGTATGATTATTTACGATTCGATTTTTTTTCTCTATTTATTATACAATGTAACCAACCCTAGGTCGTTTGAATTCTATGCTAAAATGTATCTGGTATGATAATATACTACCACAGTATTTACTTTTTATCCAATTGAACAATGTGCCTGATTGTATTGTTTGATTTCAAACAATCATATTTTATGCCTCTTTTAGAGACATTAAGCATATTCCATGAGGATTTATTTTTCTAGAAGTTTTACAGAAACAGTTTGACTTCTAGCCATACACATGTCATTCTGTCAAGTGAGAATTTGCAATTAGAAATCTTAGGTATGATATAAACAATGCAAACACTGTAGGACATATGGCAGCCTCATTGCATTGATCTTAAATTTCACCTTACAATTTCATCACTAATTGTCATATGGACTGCCTCAGTGGTCTGCCTTTAGAGTGCAATAAATAGGTCATGGTTTTGATTCATTGACTGATCCAAACTGTAGATTATTAAAATTAGTATTTACTGCTTTTACACCATGCATTTAATAAATAAGAGCAAAGACTGTTTTTTTTTTGTTTGGCCAGAATTATCTTACTGATAATGTGACCTTGTTAGAAAGCAGAATAGAATTGTGACCTTTTGTGTCTGTTTAGTACAAAAACAGGGTAAATTCATGTTACATCGATATTGTATTGTCTTAAATATGCTTGTATATTTCCTTCCAGACATGAAGCAACATTTATCAATCAATACCATTAACATCAGCTCATTATAACAAAAACTTTTGATAATCATCAAAATGATTTTGTGACAAATTTCAAGGCCTACATATCACAAGTATTTTCAAATGTAACCTGTTCTTAGGATATTTTAATTTTTTTGTCCATGTTTCAAAATTTCTGTATATCTTTGATAGTTTTATTTGTTTATTTTTCAGAAACATTTTATAGACAGTCGTATCCCAGTTTTATTTGTGGCTGGAAAAACAGAATACCCTGCAGTACGGCAGGACTTTGAAATGACTCCTGCACAGTTTTGTCAAAAATTTAAACTTCCACCCCCAGAAGATTTTGCCTGTTTAGATAAAATTAACAAAGATGTTTATATCAAATTAGCTACGATGGCTGCATATCCGTAAGTAACCGTCTTATGACATGTACAACTTCAAATTAAGTTTACTCTATTCAGGAAATGTATTTAGAAGGTCATATTGAAATATATTCTCATCCATTTTTATTTTCTTAAATTTTAATAGGTGTTAATGATTTTGATTTTGATTTTACCGTTTTTGTTATAGAAATAAACTATTTTCAGGTAGAAAGAACTTAATAAAAATTGTATACGACAAAAAAGTATTTAGAATAAAAAAAATCATCATGGCAGTATATATGTGGATGAGAATTTATGGATTTTTTTTTAAAAAGCATGTTATAGTAAGTAATTTTTTGAAAAAAAAATATGTATTGATTAAGGTCTGACTAATATTGTTTCTGTCTATGAAGAAATAAAATAAAAAATGTGGTGCACACTGAATAACCAGCATAGCGGGTTATTTAAAGGTGTGCACCACATTTGTTAGGTTATTTCGAATAGACAGAAAAAATTATTCCTTATAATTTAATTCTAAATTCCATATTTAAGGTGTAAATCATGAAAAAACGTTGATGACATCACTGTCACATGACAAGATGTCTATGAGCTGATAGACAAAAAACTTTCAGCCAATCAGAAGACGTGTTAAATCCAAAATTAAATTATTTGGTAACCATTTAAAAACAAAAATGTTCTGTAATTTCTGACCACTAAAATATTTGATAGTGTTATAATTCAAAAGGAAATTGAAGGAAATTGTTTAACAGGTTAACTAAAAATTCTTCAAATGTACAGGAAAGTTAAAAATGTTACTGACAAGAGTAAAATTACATACTTTACAGACATAGACATGGTAGATGTATTGTGTATTTGGTGTAATAAATTTAAAATTCTTTTTTATATTTTCTTTTTTATAAACAAGAGTAGTTTTTGACAATTTGTTATTCATATTTAATGTTGTGTACAAGTTTCTTTTTATATATGTATCTGTTAAAGGGCTGTTCCATTAAGATGTATTAGGGAGGTTAGGAAGGGAAATTTTTATTTTAGACATGGGTTGTAAGACATGTATGGTTGTAGGTCCTTTTGATTTATGCAGAATTACTCAAAGAAAATATATTTGTTATAGGAGGGTTTTGGAACTTTCTTCCTTCCCTCCCCTATTCATTTTAATGAAACAGCCCTGAATTATAAAAGGCTTAATGCAGCCAAAGAATGAAATATGTGTTGTGGAAAAATCTGGATAGTTTTAAAGGCATTTACAGAGAAATGATAATAATTATATTCTCAACAAAAAAAGCTGTTTATAATAAAATGTAATCATTTAAAAATAAGCTTGAGGATCAGAATTATTCAGTAGCTCTTAATTGCATGACTTGCCTGATGAAAACCAACTGTTTTTCTTTTTTTATTCTTCTCTATTTAAATGTCCTTATCCTTCAGAAATCTGAAACGACTTGTGCACATGTTACTGGTTCGGCAGAATCCACTTTGGCTTGAAGAAAATATCAGGTCTCAACATTTTATCTATATATTGTAGCCTGCTGCATGTAATCTCCTTGGATATGTTTATAAGTGTGTATATATATTGGTTCTTTGTTTTCTGTCTTTCTTGAAAAGAGAGTTGTTTCCCTTGCCTTTTAGGGATCAATTTTTGTATTTGACTCCTGAAAAAGAGTCATATTTTAACCCCCATTGCTTAACTGTTTTGTTCAAAGAAATATTACATTTAGAATAGTTGTTATTTTTATTTGGAGTGAAATTCATAGCAGTCTAATACTCTGCAGAATTTAACCTAAAACTAATGTACTATATATAGATTGCTTCAAAATTATGACCTTATCATTAAATGAATTTGATGTTTAAATAAAAAAAATCATATAATGAAAGGGTTAAAACGGTATTATTATTATCTTTTACAAAATATAATATATATTTATATATGGGAAATATAGTTTTATAGGCAGTTCATCATTTTTTCTAGTAAGTAATAATTAAAGGGAAATAACTCCTTTTTTTAGAAATTAAAAACTGTCAGGCTGTATGTTGTAGCATGAGGTGTTGTACTGGTCCTTTTTCCTTACTGTCATTATATATAGAGCCAAGCTGGATACAAACTAACCAGTAACTAAACTGTATCCTGGAATAAGAAATTAACTAATATCAGGAGGAATATCAGTAATTTATTAATGAAGGCATATGTAATGCAATGACTGCCTTAGTGCCCACAGAGCTGTCTAGCGATTCCTTAAGGGACAGATACTGACTGCCTTTGACACCATCAAGGTTGTCAGGTTATGGCAAGGAAAGCCTGGCTGTGGCTGTGTTTTACCGAATTTCACACTTCATGCATGTACATGACACCTGCTAAATATATAAAAAAGTTTCCTCGGTACAATTTTCAGTACCTTAAACCATTATTTTGATTTAATTTTAAATCTGGATTTCGATGGTATTTTATGAGATCCAGTCAAATTTTGTGGTCGTTTACATGTTAATTAGAATCAATAGTAATTAGCTTGTATGTCCTTGACAAATCCTTCCCCCTCTCTAACTATAAAACCTGTGGGAATTTTGTTATGAAATTTGTCATAATTATTCACCACTGCTAGAAAAGGTGTTACATACAATGAACAAAAGATATAGGCTGGAAATCATGAAAAAATCTTACTTCAATTTAGTCATACCTTTGCATATGTACAAAAATGGTTTGTGCTCTCCAACTTTGTAACCACTTTAGAATATCTATAAATACTTCTAAACTAAAATTGCATTGGAATTTACTTATTTATTTGATTTGTGTCCTTTTTGATGGCTTCTGTCAAGTTCTACAAGATTTTTATGCCCCACTTTAGGGCATTATGTTTTCGGTCTGTGCATCCGTTCGTTCGTCCATCTGTCTGTCCTGATTCAGGTTAGAGTTTTTCAAGTTAAAATTTTTGGTCAAGGTAGTTTTTGTCTCACCTTGACGGAGTCAAAAAGTGAGACATAGGTATGCTGTTTCCGGCGTTGGTGGCGTCAACAATGTATTAGTTTGTGATTAGGTCTAGTTCATGGTGAACCACTAGTGGTAGGTCAATGATATTTGGTATGCAGTTGTATAAGCAATGGCATATCTCATTTCCATGGAGATTATTTGGCTCCGCCCCTTTAGTCATGGTCTATAGACTTTGAAAATTTTGCTAAGTTAACATGTATTAGTTTGTGATTAGGTCAGTTCAAGGGGAACCATTAGTGGTATGCCAATGTTAATTGGTGTTCAGTTGTATAAGCATTAGCACATCTCATTTCCATGGAGAATATTTGGCCCTGCCCCCTCAGTCATGGTCTATTTACTTTGAAACTTTTGCTTAGTTTACATGTATTAGTTTGTGATTAGATCAGTTTAAGATGAACTGCTAATGTTAAGTCAATGATATTTGTTACGCAAATTTTATTGGCATTTGCAAGCATCGTTTCCATCGAGATTATATAGCCCCACCCCTGATCATGGTTCATTGACTTTGAAACTTTTACATAGTTTACAAGTTAATGTTTGTGTTTAAGTTTGTTTAAAGGGAACAACTTATAATAAGTCAATGGTATTTGGTATGCAGTTGTATTAGCATTGGCACATCTCATTCCATGGAGATTGTTTAGCCATGAACCTTCAGTCATTGTTCATTGACTTTGAATATTTGCATGTTAAAGTATTGCTATTTTAATTTCAACATTTGCATTATCAAAATTACAAAAAGGCGAGACATATCTCTGTGATAACAGTTTATTGATGAAGTTGAAGTCCAATCAACTTGAAACTTAGCACACATATTTCCTATGATATGATCCTTATAATATTAATGCCAAATTTGAGTTTTGACCCCAATTTCACAGTCCACTGAACATAGAAAATGATAGTGCGAGTGGACACATTCTTGTTGACAATATTTTGACTGTAGGAATGACATCACCAAGCTACATCATTTGAACTTTTAACTTAAATGGTTTTGTAAAAAAGATACATTACGGTTATAACTTCCTGCATTGCTTTAATTTCAAAAAAAAAATAACTTAGTTCATATTGCTAAAACATATTACTTTTTCAATAAACTAATTATTTGTATCTTTAATTAATGTCTTTATCTTAATTGAATAGAGACTCATTACTGCATTAATACATTTATTCTTTAACTTTGCTATCCACTAATTGGTTTATTTACTTATAATTCTTATATGATTTGCATATTAGGGAATACATTAATATGAGTGGTCGAGAGGGCTTGCGGTAGTTGCTCTTGAAGTTATTTATTTTTCGATAGACGACGTTGACAGAACTACTTTTTGTAACCATTGTAAACAAGATGGCGGCGATGATAACACAAACCAGCTCCATGTTCAAAATATTTACATTCGCGATCATCTTTAAATTACATAATAAACACAAAATATTCATTTGAATGATAATTAGATATTTTTGTAGTTTATTTTTTATCAGAAAGCAAATTTCATGGAATACATTTTTTTTTGCATTAACCAAAAAATATATTCATGCGCCAGGCCAATTCAATGACACAAATATACAATTTAATGATAGAGGTATCGGGTGGGGAAATTAAATTAATTATCTCCAATTTTAAAGAATTATAAGGATTGAATGCCTTTTTAAAGGAATTTATTGGTGTATAAACTGGACCAAGTCGCACACAAACATATAAAAGTCCTTTAACACAGTAAATTACAAAGGAATATTCATAACATGTCTTGATAATAGATTCAGTTTAGACTGGGGACAAATTTACACAGGGTTCAGTTTGTAATTTACTGAGAATTTTATTTTAATATTTGGATGTACGTGTAGCATGTTTTATGTAAAAACATACAATTTTAATTTTTCTGTAAAACTTTTAAAGTTCAAAAACTCACAAGTTAATTTTTCCTCCGTGTTTAGTCTTATGAAAAATGGTTATTACCAATTTAGTAGTCCTTTTTCTATGTAACATAAAAAATAAACAGGATTTTAGAAAACTGTGAGGTTAGAGTTTGAGCTTTAAAAGTTAAATTTCCTGTTTTGTGATTTTATTGTCATGTAATGTTGTAAAAATCACAATTAAGAAATCATGGTAAATGTTGCACATTTTTGTACAAGAATAGGTTTTGGAAGTTAAAAGCAACACATTTATTTTATTTGTTTTCTATGAACATTAACAGGCCCTAATTTCATTAAATTTCAAAATGATTTTTACATCTCATAATCTACAATGAAAATGTTTTACAAAAAAAATCTTAAATGTTTAAATTTATTTGTAGTTATTTTGGATTTATTGTCATATTATTCTTAATCTTTTGATTTCATGTTATTAAATTCTTTGAAATTTAAGTTTTTTCTTTTTATTTCAGACATGTGAGAGATGTTGTTTTACAGAACGATAGACTGTTTATGAAAATTGGCGTCGGACTTGCTATGGCGACAGTTTTTGGTTTTATAGTATACAGAATTACTAAGGCTCTCCGATAACAGCGACTTAGTGCTAGTTCAGCAAACTACAGAAAGCATTCAGGACCCAATCATGAGTTCTTTGTACAAGCAATGCAAATGTTGCTTTAAGGGATAAAAAGAGATTCAGAAATTTTTACGATGATATTTTAATATGACTTTAAGGAAATGTTATGAAAGGGAAGGTAGTATGTATTGGTAGATATGATCTGTAAAACTGAATTTTTATGCATCGTTTGAGCTTTTCTAAAGAGCTTCCTTTGACTGATGGGTTTTAATGACTTCCTACCTAAATGTTTATGGTGTTTATCTATCATTCAAATTATTAAAGGTAAAGTTGTTAATGGAATAGATTTTGATCTTGCATGTGATCAGCTGGAACAGAATAAAAAGAATAAACTAATGGTTTGAGTATATCTTAATTTACATTTTCCAATAATTATTTAAAGATTTCTTGCAACCATCAAAGTGTGATTAAGAATATTAAATCCTCTCTTTCTCCCAGTATTTTTTTGGAAGGAAGCTAAGAATCTTGAAAAAACCATGTGTGGCCCTAAAAATGCAAAGATAAATTATAGGTTTATAGTAATATTGTCTGGATTTTAAATGAAAATGAGTCAAAATTTATTATTTTGAAACAGCAATATTTATCAAATGCATTGAAGCCTTTTCTTTTTTAAACAAGTGCAGACAATTATGGTGCATAATTAAGTCTCCCAAACGAAGTTTGGGAAGACTTATTGTTTTTGCTCAGTTCTTATTATTATTATTCTTCTTCTTCTTCTTCTTCTTCTTCTTCCGCCACTTTTAAATTTGAACTTGTCCGCACCCGTTCTCCAAAACCGCTTGTCAGATTAACTTAGAGTTTCACAATATGTTAGACTAACATGTCTAGTGGTGCAATCAGGGTTTTGTTTGTGCAATGGGGTTTATAAAGGGGTACTTTGAGGGGCAAAAAGAAAAGAGGGTTTTACTATAGAACCCTATGGGATTTTATTTTTTAAAATTTTCAAATGATTATAAATTGAAAACCGTTTGTGATAGACACAATCTTTTTAATTGAAAATGTTCTAAATGATAAAGCCCATTAAATGAAATACAGGGTTAGTCCCCAGGGGTCAGCCCCACCCCCTGCCATTTAAGAAAGTTCTAATACCTTGTTAGTGGTCAAGATCCCCACCTCTAAACCATATATATTTTGGTTTGTCATGCTAAGATGGTTTGAATGATATACAGGGTTAGTCCCCAGGGGTCATCCCGACCCCCTGCCATTTTAGAAAGTTCTAATATCTTGTAAATGGTCGAGATCCCCACCCCTAAACCATATATATTCTGGTTTGTCATAATAAAGCACATCAAATGAAATACAGGGTTAGTCCCCAGGGGTCACCCCACCCCCTGCCATTTAAGAAAGTTCTAATATCTTGTAAGTGGTCAAGATCCCCACCCCTAAACCATATATATTCTGGTTTGTCATGCGAAGATGGTTTGAATGATATACAGGGTTAGTCCCCAGGGGTCATCCCGACCCCCTGCCATTTGAGAAAGTTCTAATATCTTGTAAATGGTTGAGATCCCCACCCCTAAACCATATATATTCCTATTTGTCATGTCTGGAACATTTGAATGACGTATACGGTCAGTCCCCAGGGGTTCCCCCCACCCCCAATGTTCTAGTATCTTGTAAATGGTCGAGATCCCCACCCCTAAACCATATATATTCTGGTTTGTCATGCCAAGATGATTTGAATGATATACAAGGTTAGTCCCCAGGCATCACTAATGCATATAACTTTACTGGACCAAACCAATTTTCACTGGACGTTGCCCAATGTCAGGCGACCCTGGGAATTACGAATTATGGGAGCTTCGTTTGGGAGACTTCGTAACAGCATCCTGTTACAATCATTTCTTGTTACACTTAAAATGTATATATATATATTGTCCAGTTTTTTCCCCACATGAATTTTTCTCACTTAAATAGAAAATACACCATATCTCATTATTTTCATAAGTATGTCATTAATGAAGATCCTCTGTCATAACTTTACCATACAATATTAGATTTTATTAGATAAAAGACTTTTACATACATTCTACATACTTCATAACATCCTGTATTTAACTTGAAAAACACTTACATTGCCTAATGCAATATGTGTATGAATTAAAGGAAATATTAGATACACATCAATGATTTAAAAAAACATAAAACATCTAGAAACATACCATGACCTTTTTTTTTCTTTCTCACGTTTTTTTGGGATCAATTCAATGTGAATGTTGTGTAATGCTTTCTTCAAAAGAATATAGAGAATGTGTAAAAAAAATTTCAGACATTAGCCAAGAGTTGTTTTCATATCATTTGTATGCCTTGGCTGTGATTATCAGGTTGACATAATGTTTCTTATCATAAAAGACTTCTGTTAACGCTTGTTATTAATAATACTATGAAGGTTTTATTTGTTAGGTATATGCTATAACATTTCAGATTTGTCCACATTTCTTACTGGTCATTATAATATAAAGCTTTATTTTAGGCTTAGTGAAAAACTGGTTGTGGCTGAAAACAAAATTGCTCAGACAAAATTCAGGTAATACAAAGGAATAGTTCTCAAATCCTTAGCAATTTTGGTTTCCATAAGGGATAATTTTTGCACCAACAGATGCATGGTTTTAAAAGAACATTTTTTTTTAATAGGAAAACAATCCATATAAATTTTAGTGCTTGAATATTTACTTTTTTAAACATGAGTGCAATGCTTACAGAAGGATTCTATAGTAAAGGCTTTTTATAAATAATGAATTTGTGGACAGTATACCAGTGCTTGTATAATAGAATTTTCCTCGTTTGTGTGATAATAGATTGGAAGAAAAAATCTTTGTTAGTGGTTTGGTGGTTGTTTTTTTTTTAATAAATTGAGATATAAGTGATTAAACATACTGCACCTGATCTAAGGCGTAAAAATAAAACCTATTGAAAAACTATAATTGGACAAAAACCTCAAGGAAATTAATGTAAATTTGTTTGCAAGAAATTTTGTGCATGCAGTCTTTCCTGTGTGCTTTGTGATCTGAAACCAATTAATGTACTCTGTATTTTATGTAATATCCTATTTCGAGATGATCAGTGGTGGTACATTTGTACAATAAATAGTATACTGTGTTTCACTATTTGTTATAAGGGTCACTGCTTTGTAATGCTTTTAATTAATTTAATAGATAATAATGAAAATAAAAACAATAGATTTGAGTTATTTTCTGCTTTTCAAATGGATTTAAAGAGTAGCAGTTAAAGTAGTTCACTTGTCATAAAGTTAAACAATTTCAGTCAAATTACAAACATTTTACTAGTTTATCTCTAGTGGATAATTCAAATTAGTTTAAAGGGTAAAGTAGTAGAATATGTGTCTCTAATAGTTAAATGAAAAACTCCCTACCCTGATATTCTTTTTACATTTGGGACGAAAAATTCATGCCAACTACCTAATCAGCATTTTGTTTACCAAAGTTTATGCAACTGCCCAGAACAGGTTTAATTGAAGAAAATTGGAGAAATTGAAAAAAGTTTTTACATAGGTATCAGAACGAAGCCCCTCTCCATCTTGTCTGCCAAATTAGTCAGTTAAAAGACCTAAATATATAATATTGGTCTTCAAATCTATAGTATTCAATAATTTGTATCGCTGGAAATGTTTGAGTATTTGACATTCTTTGATGTAAATTCAAATAAAAAAAATATTATCAAAATTTACAGGTTATTGATCATGTGAATACACACCCATTTTCGTGCTATATGTATGAAATGCAGACAAAAATCTATCGTACACAATAGACCAAAACAATTGTTTTTAATAGCCTATTGTATCTGATGTTTACATTGTCTGCAATAGAGTGTGAAATAAGTTCTGATATTGTTCAGATTAACCACTGGTTTTGTTATGAATGTATATATTATTAGATGTAGTCTAACTATTTATGTAATTATGTACATTGTAAGTGATATTTGGGTGTGTGAATTACTATAAATGTCTGAAAGATACTGAAGATGAAATAAAAATTTTAAGAAACAATACTTTGTTCAGTCTGATTGTGAATGTGATTGTAGTGAAATTAGGTGTTCTGTTAAAAAATTTGGACTGTCCTTCTTTTTGTGATATGGATAAAAGGAGATTTTGGATTAACCATGATGAGACACCATCACATGATTGTCTGGTTTTCTCTCTTTTTATAAAAGAGAGGCGAAAGTAACTAAAGGGACATTCAAGCTCATAAGTCGAAAATAAACTAATTCAATAGCAAAAAAAAACCACCTTAAGACAAACAACAGTACACAAAAACACAACATAGAAAATTAAAGACTGAGCAACACGAACCCCATTAAAACCGGGGGTGATCTTAGGTGTTCCAAAAGGGTAAGCAGATCCTTACTGTCATTATCTATATAGCCAAGCTGGATACAAACTAACCAGTAACTAAATTGTATCCTGGAATAAGAAATTAATTAATATCAGTAATTTAATAATGAAGGCATATGTAATGCAATGACTGCCTTAGTGCCTACAGAGCAGTCTAGCGATTCCTTAGGGGACAGATACTTGGTGCCTTTGACACCAGCAAGGTTGTCAGGTTATGGCAAGGAAAGCCTGGCTGTGGACCATATTTTTACTGAATTTCACGCTTCATGCATGTACATGACACTTGCTATATATATATACAGCTTTGTAACCACTTTAGAATATCTCAGTTCATATTGCTAAAACATATTACTTTTTCAATAAACTAATTATTTGTAACTTTAATTAATGCCTTTATCTTAATTCAATAGAGACTCATTACTGCATTAATGCTAATATTCTTTTATCTTTGCTATCCTCTAATTGGTTTATTTACTTTTAAGACCTTATCTTTATTAACATACAACAACTACACTTAAACTTGTCTAAACTGATTCCCCGTGGGACACATGTGGGACTAAAACATTTGTTACAGAAAAAGTAAATGTTGGGGTTTAAACAGTTAAAATTACGAAGGAATATTCATAACATGTCTTAATAGTAATAGATTCAGTTTAGACAGGTGAAAAATGTACACTGTGTCCACTTTAAACCGATGTAAATTTATGTAGGGTTCAATTTAGACAGGTGACAAAGTGTTCAGTTTAGACAGGTAACAAATTTTTATAAGGTCAGTTTCAACAGATTTAACTGTATATTAACATTTTATTGAACTATCAGAACATGGAAAATAATTAGTCAAACCTGTATATATATATAAAGGTCACACGGTTGACCAGAGAAATTTAACCTCATAAGAGAGGTGAACATTGAACTGAGGTTCAAAGTGCATTAGTACTACTACAAGTTTTTAGCTTAATAGAGGTGACCTTTAATTTATGGCAGGTTTGACTAGTTGATATATAAATGATAGTTTTAGGGTGTAAGCCTAGGAGACTGCATCATTAAAAGAAATTCCCTAAAAATATTAAGTCATGAACAATAACACAATATTGCAAGGTTCCTGACTTGGGAAAGACTTGTCAGCATGTTTAAGTTAAAAACCTGTATTTTGGTACTTA